TAAACAGGAGATGGGTAATTATTAAAGGTTGTTGACCTAGGTTAAGAGGACCTGAGTTCCTAATTTAAATGCAATACAGAATTATCACCATCAGCCAAAGGATGCAGAATTTGGTGGTCTCAAATTAGGAAATAAGAAAAGAAGCCATAGGAAAATAGTCATAATCTCAAATGGCTGAATTTTAGTCGCATTCCTTGAGTAGCCAAGGTTTGTATGGGCTACATACTGCTTCGCCATTTAGAAACAGCTCCCAAACCCAGAATAAAACTGAGGATCACTAATGATGATTACAAATACACAGAAGAATTTATGAAACTTACCTTTACTTTATGATAGAATGCAAATCTAGAATCTAGAAATTCTAGTGTAACAGTAGGAAGTAGATTTATAGGGACACAGAATCAGTGCATACCCACTGTGTACAGAATGAAGTTTTAAATGCTGAATGGAGTTTCTACTATTCCTTTTTTTCTTATTTACAATAAAAAGTAAAACCTTTGGATTCAACTCAGTGATAAAATGTTTAATATATCATGCAATTATTTTTAGGGATTGCTAGATAACCTTAAGCTATTTCCTCCAACTGTCTGATTTAAAAGTTATCAACTTTGTCTTTCGCAAGGTTCATTTTCGTTACCTAAATACATCAGGAAAAGACTGACCCCAACCTGAAGCAAGGTGACAGCTGCTTCAAAAAGTCTAATCTGCTTATTGATGAAAAACCAGAAAGGGAATAAATAAATGATTGCTAATGATTTCCATGATAGCTCTACACAGACCCAGTAACTCCTCTGGATTATAGTACAGATAGAAGCCAATTAGTTTTATTTCATATGTAAATAGCGGCATAAAGAGGTACAAAAAATAATTCATTGGACTGCTTTATCCTAAAGCACAAGGCGCACATTCTGAAAGTCACTTCAAACACAGTTCTTGCTTATGGAGCTCGCTCTCTCTCAGGCAGGAATTTTTCAAATAAATTAAAACTCATCCAGCTGTGTATATTCAAGAAATACCAAAAAGTCACAAGGCATAGTAAGTTTCAGCTGTTCTCCTCTCTCCGGTGTTATCAATAACACATAATGAGTTAGTTCATACATCATCACAGCTGTGCAGGCCAGAGCCAACTTGGCTAATTTAACTATTCTAGTAGAGTTCAGTCAGGAGCTTGCTCTATTAGATAATTCACTCTGCAAGTCATATATAAGCTTTTTATTATCATTTCTCCTTGTCTTCTTATGCAAAGTTTCTGTGAAGTCACCTAATGGTTCTGCCTCTTGGACAGATTTAAAAAGAAAAAGACTTCTAAGAGCAAGTAGCAATCAAAATTGCTCAGCAACTAAGATTATGACAACACACTCAAGGCTTAAGCCTTAAGCAAGTAAAACTCCCTCTTTATCAATAAGCATTAATTCCAAAAGAAGAGAAAAGAACACTGTCCTCTGGGAAAAATCAACCACGGATTCGGGGCTGCACCTTTCTTCTTCACCTCCACCCTCTTTCAATAAATTCAGAATTAGAAATAATCACTGATCATATTTTTACCTACTTGTAACCTCCAAAATAAGGTTTGTATTACATCTCTTCTTGGTGGTGGCAATAACTAGAAGACTATTACAGCATACTTTAAAATAAATATAATGTGAAACCAATGGTGATCGGTAGCTAAAGAGATTTGCACAGCCTCCACAATTTCAATTATCCACAACAGTATTCTACCCACTTAGCAAGGCTCTGCTAAAACTGCTTAGTTCTGCCATCCAGTATCATCTTCTACTGAGGATGAGTGCCTAAACTGTTAGAGAGTGTTTTCTTAATCAAAAGCATAACATTCAATGTTGTTTTCTCAACTGCATATTTGGAATTTGGAAATTTTCCAAGGCCCATCCTGTGTGCAAAAGAAGCCTCAGCATCTAAATCTGGGAAGTTCATCCATAGAACTGGCTTCCAGTTGATGTTGGTAATAAACATCTGTAGTTGTACAAAAGCAGAGTGAGAAAACAAAGTGGGATTATATTATAATTTCATTACACTGAACCAAACAAGCATTTATTATTGAAATCTCTTTAAAATATTTTTAGGATCTAAGAATCTTGACTAAAGAGTTGAAAGAGACCTGTGAACTTATCTAGCTCAACTTCCTTTCCAATTTCATTCCTAAGAACAAAATAAACACTACATATCTAATTTAGATTTAGATATTAAATGCAATACATTTGCAAAGCAAAATAATTTTACCTGCAGTTTGAAACTATGAACTTTTGTCCCTGCTAGAGACAAAGAACCATGAACTTTCCCCAAGTTCCACACAATGAAAATATTATGGATATAATATATAAAAACGATTTACCAAGTCATATAAACTACTGAAAATAAGTGGGATAAATAACTGCCATTCATTGTTCCTGAATCCAAAGATTGCTGGGACCGACTTGGACATGTACACAGCTGAACACGCACTTCCTGGTTATGTGTAATCTGCACAGATAGACCAGCTTTACAGGCCTGACCACAGAGATTAATAGCTTTAGCCAAATAATGTGGTAACCATGTGAACCTGGGCTGCTCCAGCTTGTTTGTGAATCTCTCAGCAAGGCTCAACATGCCGTTATCTGCATCTTGTTGCCAGGAAACACAACATCGCTTTGGAATACAAGGAAAACCAGGTTTCAATGACCACAGGTCAACTTCCCAAAAGTCTAATTTTTGACACTTAGCTATCTACAATCTTACATTTCTTCCTGGAGTCCACAGAGAACTTCACTTTACTACTAATTATTACTACTAATTAACAGTTAATACTTTTGCTACTTTATCAGGGCAGCACCACTTATTGGCACTAACAATATAATAGCAGTAATAATAATAAAAATAATAATAACAATTCACTAATACTTTTCCTCTCCTAAGTGTCAGATAAACACTAGTTTACTTCCTTAAAGCTGATTTGGAAATCAAGCATCCACCTCAACTACTTTATTACTGATCCAACAATACATGTTTATGGGCCTATATCTATGTCTCTGTTCTTCAGCAAAATAATCTTACCAAAAAATAAAATGTCCAACATGCTGCTGACCCAAGAGTTCCTGGATTTTCTGGGATCAAAATGATTGTCTTGTCTTGCCCATGGTAACAGAATGTAATGTGTTGGACAATAATTCTGCTAGTTTTTTCCTGACCAATTCAAACAGATAGAAACTTAATGTACCAAGATGCTGAAGTACACAGCAGACTGGAAATTTGCTTCGTAAGAGTGAAGTGGGAGGTCACTGTTCTGCAGTTTTGCAACCTGGAGATGGAAGGATTAGAGTGGCTTTGAGAGCATATAAAATTAATTACCCTTGACATCGCAATTAGAATTGCTAGGTCATGGGCAACAGAGATTTTGGACAATTCCTTATTAAAAAGATTTTTAGGATAAAATGCAAATGTTTTTCTCTCTTCCAATGCTGGCTTAAAAAAAAAAGTCAAAAGTACTCAGCTTTATTGTAAGACTCTTGCTACCCAACCAAGGTAGAATCTTGAAAACATAATATTATCAATATAATATACTTATAGTCAGGAAAACTACATTCTTGGTATTTTACATTTATCCCAATGTGTCTACCATATAATCTCTGAACTTGATCCTTGTACCATTTCTCATCTTGTTCCACATTTCTCTTTTGAAACACAAGATGCAAAGCTCTAGTCTCATGATAGTTAAGTTGCTAAAAGAACATCATTCACACAGTACTAAATGGGAGCAAGAGAAGTTTATAAACTTGGAAACAGTTTACCACCACCATTCACTGATTCTCCAGACACTTGGGTAGTGTAAACTAACTTATCTGTGAACAAAGATGACTCTCAAGGAAGTTTTTCTCCTGGACTTCTGGAATGGAATACTCAGTGCATTCCCCACCCCCCCATGGGTCATGCCTCTCAGTATTATTATACCAGGTCATTTATTACCTGTGAAGCTGCCAGGTTCACAGAATGGTCTCCCAAGTCATGTAGCATGCATAGAAGGGCTCTTCTCCCCTATCTAAAAGTTAATCCCTACACTTTGCTATACACAAATAGCTATTAACATCACACATTTTAACTCCTTCTATACTACAGGAGAAACAACTTAGAAATACAAAGACTAATGCTTATTTATACAGCCATTTTTGCACTAGCAACTTCATATGCAGTACCTATCATTTTCTTTATTTTAAAGTTCAATTAAAGAAGAATCCATATAGGGAAATATCAGTTTGCTGTCAATGAGTATTGCTTAGACAGCCATACTAAGAAAATCAAAACTCGAGGATAATCATTTCATATGTAATGATAAACATATCCATTAACATAAATCCTCCCTTCACACAGTTGCAAGACTCTTCCAGGTTTAAAAAAATACCCTGAATTGTGGAACAATTTATGTTACCTATAAGATAAATTTAACGGCAAAAAGCTTCAAGGAAACTAATAAGAGAGATTTAATGTGTTTGGGCATGATTCAGAAGTATGTGATGAACTTCTGAATCATTCACAGAAAAAGGGTTTATACCATTTAAAACAGAGAGGGCCACAAAAATCTCCAAACAATACTATTTTCCTTTAAAAAAAATAGCAGCTACTCAATATTCAGAACTTTAAAATTAGATAAATTAGGTATTCATTATTTATAATAAGATTCACCATGCACTTTCAAAAGCAAAGCAAGTTCTCCTGTATGATTAAAATATTTGATTCCCAACATTCAGCGTATGTGCAACTTCTCAGTTACATGCATACTGAACAGAGTGACAACTGAATTGTTCAAATCATAAAATCTTCATTGTCTGTTAGGTAAATAGCCCACATTCAACTACCATGAAAATCAGGATAGCATTGAAGCCAAAAGAGATACAGTGGGAAAAAGAATAAAACCTGTTACTACTGAAAGAAACCACCCAATTAAGCTTTTAGCCTCTTTCCCTACTCTATAGCATTTAATGACAGTTTTACAAGTTGTTATAAATACATACCCATACTTCATTCTCATTCTATCATTTTCTGGGTTACAGTAAAATCTTTCCAAGTGCTCCTGGGAATCATTGGATACACTTTGCCATTTTTGAGTAGTTGTCCTCTTGACCTGCCAATGATATGACAAGACTGTATGGTGCTTCAAACAATCCCTTCCATAAATACAAGTGCCTTGCAGAAAGTCCATGCAAATTTCAATTCCATTCTCTTGGTGAGTATGGTACTGTAGTTGGTTAACCAGCTCAAACACAAGGTCAAGGGAGGCCTCTTCACTTTTGTCCTGGAACAGCTCAGTACTCAACTTATCACTGGTGTCCAAAATGTACTGGATTGTAAAATTGTTGTTTTGGAAAACCCCTGGAACATAATCCATGACTTTGTCTATGCAGTCAGGACTAGTAGGAACATCACTTGAAACCGGGTGCAAAAGGTCAGTCTGGAAGTGCCTTGATGTGGAATCTGCCACTGTCCCGCTGATGGTTTCTGGTGGAAAACTGTGATCCTGGATTGGAACCACTTGTTCTGGAGCATCGGTGGAAGGATGGGCCTCTGGTATTTGGCCCCTGACATTTGTACCATCAGAAATCAGGACAGACATATTGTTTTCTGTTGGTGGGCACGATGGATTGATTTCCAGAGTTTTTTTCACCATAGGTTCATGTAAGTTGTTCTCATCTGCACTCTGGTTTCTAGATCTAAAAACCCCATCAAGTGAGCCAGATTCTAGCAAAGTGTTTAATATTGGCCTCAAAGACCTCAGGGTTCCAGTTCCCAATCTCTTCTGATCCTGCTTCTTCTTAAAACAAGTCTTCAATGGAGTAATCTTTTCAGACAGTCTCATTTGGCAGGAAAAGTCATCAGGAGAAGGAGGCTGCACTACACAGTCTGGCTCAGGTTCAGTGGTTTCTATTTCCATGATGTAGATTAGCTCCAATTGTTCCTCAGAGTCTAAAAATCCTACCAGGAAAGGAAGGAAGATGATCATTTACAAAATGACAACTGGATCCCATTTATTCATTAAAATGCTTTGTTTTAGTCTGTGACTGAGTCCCTGAAATCACTCCTCTTGTACTATGTTTAGTCTTTACAGGTCAATTTTAAATTTTATTGAGCAATCAATGCTCCAAAGTAGTCAAGGCTATTCAAAAGCCTATACAGCAGATAAAAGGAGGAGAAAGAATGTGTCTTTCAATAGACCTTTGGCATTTACTTGTAAACTTAATATACAACAGTTTGTAATTCTGCTGGGGTATGAATTTTTACTGTAAGGCTAGAGTGGGGTGGAAGATGGGAGGTAGAAATAACTGTGACTAGATGATGACAGCAGGGAAACCACATCTCCACTCAGCTTGTGGTTCTCTTCACAGCTGTTTATGTATCACCTATTTCATGAGTTGACAAAAACTTAGTTCCTTTGTGGGGGGAAGAAAAGGTTCATCAAATGAAGAATAAACTTCAAAGTTAAATAGTGAGTGAATGTGGGTTATAAGGATATATACAGGAAACAGGGGCTCTCAAATGAAATGCTATATGGGAAAAAGCCAAGGGTCTTTTAAGCATTTCTATATTCAGAAAGTTCCAGTACATTCTTCAGGAATGTTAAGGGTCTACTTTTGCAATCCTCAAAAATCATTACCACTACTGAACAAATATCAGGGTGTGTTTAGCAACAGAGGCCAAATCAGCAACCACCACAGCACACTGTTAGAAACCAAACACAGCTTCACAACACAGAAAGGGCCCTTGTCTTTAGAAATGTTACATATATGCATTTTTTTTTAAAGGCAAACGAAGGCATATTACAGAAAAAATAACACAATACTATAAAACACACACCAAATTTCAGGTCTCTAATGAATTACTGAAAGATTTAAAAAGTACTTTCTTCCAAGAATCAAACCCCTTGAAAAAAAATGAAACTTTAAAATATTTACTGAGATTGTGCCAGGTGAGAAAGGGAAGATGATGAGCAATCAATCCTCTTCTCTCTCGTCCAACAGACTGAAAGAGCTCTTTGATGCAAGGGCCCACAACCTAATCAAGTACGCATCCTAGGTGCCCAGTACAGTGCCTAACACAATGCTCACAGTGGGTGTTCCATAAATATTTTGTTGTCTGAATTACTGAAGAAAAGGCACACATTAAATGCTTAGTCCTTTGTTGTTTATGGGTCAACAAAAAAAGATAAAATTGGGTCCCTAGGAAAAAAAGAGGATTAAAGATCCAATTGGAGAGTCATAAATCTGTGTAAAAAGTGAATAATGATCAAACAGAAAAGTAAAATACAAAGCATAGTATATAACAGTGTTAGTGTCCATGATAAGTACAAAAGGAAAAGGTAGAAAAAGAGTTCAGCGTGAGCTGGCATTGTTAGGGAAAGCTTCACCAAGAAGGAAGGATCTGACATGAGACATAAATCAACTGGAAAGCAGCCAAGCCAGGCGTTATTATTCATCACTCGGTGCTCTTGCCTCAAGGCACAATTGGCACAGATTGTGGTATTCCCTCTCCACCACACCAAACCGGCTTGTGCCTTCCCCCACGCACACACACTAACCACTCCTATCACACCCAGTCAAGGCAAATCAGACACTAAGCCAACGTTATTTATACGTGTGTGTGTACACACACACACACACGCACACACTTTTCCTATTATTACCCTTAGTCAAACTCGGAAACAAAACTGGGGAGTAGTAACTGGAGTGGGGAAGCCACTAGAACCTACTTCCCCAATTAGTGTGCAGGAGAGAAAACTAAAGATCGGAAGGGCACTTCCTCCGGTCCGCCGCTGCAGGCAACCCACCGCGCCACCCTCACCTCGTGACGCCCGGGTTCTCCGGCACTCTCCTCCGATCGCACCCTCCGTGGAAACCGCCGGCTCCACACTGCCCGCCCGCCGCCGCGCGACATCCTGCGCCGAGCCGGGGTCCGAGCGACGCCTCCTGCCGGCCGCGGCGGCGGCTTGCGCGGCTCCGGACCCCGAGCTGAGGCGCCGCCCGGCTCGGCGTTCCGGGTGTTCCCGAGCATCCCCGCCTCCGCCTTCCCCTCGGCAGGCGCCGGGGCGCCCCCTCAAACCCACCGTTCCAGCCTCCTCCCCACCGAAGTCCCGGCCCGGCTTTCCTGCATCCCAGGAGCCACTCAACGGCGCCTTCCACATTTCATTTCTTCTTCGCCTCCTCAACCCACGTTCCTGAGGACGGTCCTGCGATTCTCGGGGACTCGCAAAACTAAGCCGCGAAGCCCGGGGGACCGCGGCGGGCGCTTCTTGCGGCGGCGGGGAGGAGGGCGAAGACTGGGGCGCCCTCAAAGTTAATGTGAAAACAGCCTGCAAACTTCTGGGCTGCAGCCCGGCACGCAGGGGCGGCCGGAAGACTCCCGCAGCCGCCCTGCCCTCCCCGCGGGGTGGCCCGGGGCTCCTCCGCGCTCCGAACGCCCGCCCGGGGTCTGCCCGCGGGGGAGGCCGCCCCGACGCTCCCCGGCCCGCCCTGACCAAGAGAGAAGGGGCAGACGCCGGCGACCCCGACTAAACCCTTCAGCGTCTTAGTCTGATCTATACACCTGCAGGGGTTCTAAGTGACTAAGAAGTGTAAACCAGTTCCATCCTGATGTTGACAGGATCTCAGTGAATTTGGAACCAAACAGGCAGTCCAAAACCAATCACACTGACGCGCGGGGCCTCGAGGCCAGCGCCCGCCATCCCGGCTAGGGTCTCTCGGCCCCTCAGTGCCCACCCGGACCTCTTTACCTGAACGGGCAGCCTGAGAGAGCGGACGACAGGAGCCGCGTCGCGGGCAACGTCCGCGCCGGGGGTCCGTGTGGAAGGCGGGCGCCGGCGTCTAGAAGTCGCAGAACGGAGATGAGGCGAGCCGCGTACAAGCCATTCCGCCGCCGCGGGCGTAGAAAGCCTCGACCGCGCTCCCAGCCCAGCTCACTCGCCTGTCACCTCCAGCTCTGCTTAAGTGGCTTCCGGTCGCCTCCTCCCGGCGGCCCCGTCTGGGAGGCGGAGCCTGTGCGGCGGGGGGTGGGGTGGGGTGAGGAGGCCCGGCGCTCAGTGGGTGCCGGAAAAGAGGCCGGCCCCGCGCGCGCGCGCGTGCGCACTCGCTGGCGGGTAGGCGCGCGTGGTGTGTGTGCGAAAGGCCTGAGCTCCCGCCAGGGGGCGTGTTCTTTTGCGGGCCGTCCGGGTCGCGAGGGTCCGCGTCTACGCGCGTCGAGTGGCGCGCAGCTGAGAGGAAGACTGGCGTGCGCCGCGTGGGGCGGGCTCCACCTGCCTGCGAACAGATGGAGGGTCACTTTGTTCCGAGGACACCCAGGCACCCGAAGGAGGATGTGAAACGGAGCGACCCGTTTCCGTGCGGTTGGCTTTGTTTATTTGCCTCCTCAGGAGACGCCTCCGGTCCCTGACGCCGCGAAACCCAAAGAAGCAAACGGCTGCCGCCGCCGCTGCCGCCAGACGGGGTCGCCTGCCCCGCGCCGGACGGGCCGGCGGCCTGTGTCTCGGGCCAAGTATGCAGCCTTGCAGAAGTGAAACCTGGCTGTTGGCTTTTGTCGATAGAAGTGTACGTGTGTTTTGAAGCTCACAAACACCGTAATGGCTTGTTTATTCACTCAACAAATATCTGTCCGAGCGCCTATTGCGTGTCAGGTATGCACTAGGCTTAGGGCTACGTCCCTGATCAGCCCAGACCTCATGTCTGTCTCACGGAACTTGCAGAGCACCGTGTACTCATCTCTGAAATATACACCATATGTAAGGTTGCCATATTTTCTGAATTGTAAAATGCTTTGGATTTTAACTCCATATATTGAATACATTTTCAGTGGTGAGGGAAGAAACACTACATTAAGTTCATATAATCCCTATATATGGAAAAAAAAGGGGGGGGGGGGTTCCTGGTAATTCCAGAGGTAGAAATAGGAGCTAAGAGGTGGTAGTAATAGATATTATGGTTCTTCACCTTTATTAAACTGTTCTAAACCGGGCTGGGTGAGCACACCAGCAAAGAATAGATAAAGGGTCGTATTATCTCCAGCAGGCTTATCATTTCAAACTGTATCAAGGCAGGGCCATTAAGGTGGGAATGATATGGGGGGAATTCAGAGGACAATAGGTAAAAGATGGGAATCTTTAGATTTAGAAACTATACTGAGCAGATATTTTGGTGTGTATTTATTCATACATACAATTACCTAGAAGCAAATATGTGAGTTTAAATCTAGCATCTTACTGTTTGCTATTTGTCTCATGTGTTTCATTTTATGCGTTCTTTTGGATTATTTTTTAATGCCATTCTCTTCTGACAATTAGGTTGTTATATATTCTTTCACTATTCTTTTAGTAGTGTTTGTAATGACTTAAAACAATAACTCATTTGCTCATGATTCCATTTCTCTGGCTCAGGAATTCGTCCAGGGCATAGTACAGGTGGCCCATCTCTGCTCCATAATGTCTGGGGCCTCAATTAGAGTGACTCAGATGGCTGGGGCCTGGCTAGGATGGCTCAGCTAGGGCCATATGTCTTGGGTCATGAGGATGGAGATGAAGTTTCATGACAAAAATGAAGATGAACATGTTGTGGAAAACATAAAGATGGAAGCCACAAGCTAAAGATGCTGGAGCAGGAAGATGGAAGGCTGTTAGCTGTGTTCCTTAGTTTTTCTCTACGTTGTTTTTCCACATAGCTTATTTAGGATTCTTCAAGCATAGTAATCCTAGGGTTGCAGAGGGGACATTCCAAGAAAACAATCCTCAATGTGCAACTGTTTACCTGCATCATGCTTACTAATGTGTCACTGGGCAATGCAAGTCACATGGCCAAGTTCAGCATCAGTGTGGAAGACTACACAAGGCTGTGAATATTGGGAGGTGTGGCTCATTGGTGGGGTGGAGGGGGGTCACTTAGATTAGGGGCAGATTACCTTAATCCAATCAGGGTTAATAATTAAAAGTTACTTGAGAGTATAGCTCTTTGGGTTCCAATTTAAAATCTCTCCACAAACTCTGAACTCAAATTTTTTACCCCCCACCCTCCACCCACTTCTCTTGAGTCCGTTGAAAACTCTGTTTTTCAACCTCTCTACTACTGCTTTTGGAATGTCAATTGCCTCAAAGGGGAAAATGGTACCAAATTCTGGACATAACACTCTTGGATTTAGGCTCCTCACACTGCTGAAGTTTTATTGCTCCAGAAAAGGTATCCTCCACAATGTCCACCTCAGATGTGACCCTGTGGAAGATAATGAAATAGGAAAATCCTCCTATAGAACCAGAAATTGAAAGATTAAATGACCAAGAGCATGGAGTCCTTGCTATAATTATCCAACAGGATATGATATTGCTATGTGTATTTCCTATTTTCCCCTTTTCTGAACGAGAGTTTTGCCAACATCCTATTTCTTGTCCACTAATACTTATTAGGCATACTGAGGCAGATAACTTTTCTTTAAATATTGGCTGAGCGTGGGGATCCACACTTTTGATGGGGAGTACCCCCACAACATCAGGTCTCCTGGATCCTGGACTCTGAGCTCATTGCAACAACTAAATGGGACTTTGAGATCCACTTAAGGAGGGGATGAGTACATTTTGTGTATGAGAAGGGGGGTTGATTGGGGCAGACACTGCTTGTTGACCCTTTCATCTTTATTAGAAAGATCCTGATACTTTTTTGTGGGGAAAGGAGTGGTAATTTGCCTAACTGAAAAATCAATTTCCCTATGTCCTGTATAGTTATGGGTGGCCATGGGATATAATTCTAGACATATGTTCAAGACTGCTAGAAAAGCATTTCCTTTGCTAATACAAAACCACCCCTTCCATTTTTACCTTTTTTTCATTCTTCTGAAATACTGACATGAGGATGGAGATAGTCTTATGACAAAAATGAAGGTGAACATGATGTGGAAAATATGAAGATGGATGTCACAAGCTAAGGACACTGGGGCAGAAAGATAGAAGAAATTTGGATCATTCATGACAACTTGAAGCTGCTACAGCAATCCTAGACTGGCTACCTCTGGACTTAGTAAATCTAAAACATAAACCCCAATTTGATTAAACTGTTTTCTGTTATGTGTAGCTGAACATGTTCTTGGCTCATAAGTTATCTCCTAACTAGTCTTTCTGCTTGCAGGCTCTAGCAGTTAGATAGTAACATGACTTAGTATGTTAGAAATACAAGAGCTGTCACACAGCAATACATCAACTCCTATAGCATTTCTTTCTAATTCCATAGATACACCAAATTATTATAAGATTAAGAAACAGTTTATTGAAGAAAAAATTACAATCCTCATAGTTAAACTTTCTAAAGTCTCATTTTAACATTTTGATATAGTTGTCTTATTCAAAGTTCTTTCTATCGTTATAACATTACTGTATATTAATATTTTACCTAACATTATATCATAAACAGCTTTCCATGTTAATACAGTCTTTTAAACAAATAGCTGTTTAATATTCCAAGTAACTATGACATGTTTTACTTATCTGGTTCCTTGTCAGTTCACTTTTTTTAAATATAACTTATTCACTGAGTATCTACATTCAAGTCACTGGCTTAACTATTGTAAGTACATGTAGATTAATCAAATGTGGTTCTTCCATGAATGCTCTTCAAAACTACAAAGACATGTACATGCAGCATATATGGCTTATGAAAATGTATACTTTTTATATGTGGCCCTAAACCGTTTAAGTCTTTTAAAATATGCTTATAGGATGAAAAGATTTTAATTTCCAAGTATTCCTTTTATTGCTAATTTCTGTTGTTCTTATCTGCTGGATTTGCTTTATCATGACTGATTGATTCAGTAGAGTGCTTCCAATGAACAATATCAATATAAAAACCAAGACTTCTTACTAAAAGTTTTAAGTTACCCAAGGCCTCCAGATTTCTTTGTTGTTAACAGTAAATGCTATCACATGTAAATATCAATATTCTGTTGCTTTCTGTTTTGACAATTATTAGTTAATTCCCAAAGATCCTTCTAGTAGAAAGCTAATCATTTTTGGTTACCACATCAAGAAGGAAACAGTGACTAATGTGACTCAGCACAATGAAAGACCTGAGGTTTGAAAACAGAGGCTTTGTCTTTGCAGTGCTATCCTGAGATTACAACCAACTTGTATTGGTTGACTTGTAATGGCAGACTGACAACTCATTTATGAGGGCTAAGTCCAAGCTATAATGTTTTATGTGACTGTTTATATAAGGGTAACTAATTCCTTAACTCATAAGAAGTTCATATATGCATGTATATAATATATCTAAAGTGAAAGAAAAGTCAGACTGTTATTATCTAGATAACTGAATTGCTGTTGTTTTTAAACATAAAATCTGTTATTGAAAATTATGTCTTGATGTTGTTACTAATGAGTCAACTCCTGGAACTTACCTGAAGGAAGATTTCCTATTTCCCTGAGAGGGAGCTCTGCACTCTTGGGATTCTAAAGCAAAACAAGATTTTGGCTGGAATTTATATACCTCAAGTGGGTTTTAAATATTGTGGTGGTGGGAGAAGATTGGAAAATGCTACTAGGGAATATTTCAGAGCAACTAAAGGTAGGGAATTTAATTAGCATGAATTAAAGGTGAATTAATTCAATGCTCAGAGGTAGGTTGTTTTAGAGCCTGTCATAAACATGCTCTGATAAATGTAAACTTAAAATTCATAATTTCATAGAGTGATGACATATTCACTTTGCAGACCATTTTCAAGTTTTAAAATATTTCAGTTATAATTTTTCTCTTGAACCTCACTGTTTTTCTCTCCTGTTTTCTCTGCCTCTGATTAGGCAGCAGAATGCCTCTGTCTGGGAAAGGTAATGGTACAAGGCCTAGTAAAAAATGAAACAGATATAATATGAATGGGATGAGTTCTAAAATGCTTAAACAAGATCACAAACTATTCTGGTTATCTAAGATTTGCATTTTTAAATTGCCTAATCATTTGCTGGACTGTTCTTCTTTCAGGATCCTTGACATGGACTCTCTTTAATCCCCTTCAGTTTTGGACCTATCGAGTCATTCTCACAGCACATACTGAAAATTCTGTCTGATCTAATGGTTTTGGGTCTTTTCTCAGAGAAGTCCCCAGATGTTTTCCTGACCATTCATCCA